CAGTGTCAGCGCAGCTAGAGAGCTTTTGCACCTAATGCACATATCACTGGGCATAGTCTACAGGCACCTAATAACTCAGGTACCTTAACAGTCACTAATGAGTGTATCTCCAAGGATTAGTCCAACACACTTGAGTGGCCTGACTCAAGGTAACTATATGTTCAATCCAGGGTCATAGTGAGTGGACATCTGCCAACTAGAGGTCATTCCCCCTGCCTGCCATTGAGCAGTTCAGAAGTGACTGGTGTAAGCAGACATGAGTGAGCTTGCTCAATTCACTATTTGCCTTTATTGAGGGGATCATACCCAGGGTCTAGGTCATTGTGCCTTATCAGAGTCCTACACATTTCACTTGCAAATTATATTTGAAAATTAAATGACCATCTTCAAGTCAGTCACAAAACATTTTTTAAAATTGATTCCAGAACCCATATTAACATCCAGTGACCTGTAGAAAGCAGTAGAGAAATGTATTAGGCAAAAAGTTCTGGCAAAGACCAGTCTGATAGTGGCCTGATTACTCAACCTCAGGAATTGGTCACATCAATTTGAAGAGTGAAGAAAAATAAAAAGTACCAGCCTTATTACTCAAGACATTAGGAATTATCCATTTAGATAGATAAAAGATTTTAGCTAACAAAATATTACAACGTCATCCTGAAGAATATGTCCCTCTTCTAGAGAACCCAGGAGGTTATCATGACCCCTGGAAAGCCCGACCAGCAGTAACAGTGCAAGTTACATAGGTGCATGAGTGCAGAAATATAATCTCTACTGAAAGTAAGTTTCATACTAGGCAAGAAGTATAGGATATACATAGAACTTTTGCTCACAAAGTCAAATCAGATGTACAAATTCAGTATGGTTTAGGAGTCAGTCAATGGTGGGAAATTCATTGTGCTTATGGAAAGTGAAGTAGGACAAATGACTGGAATAGCAAACAACTCCAGGATTAATGATGAGTTAATTGCTAGAGCAGAAAATATCCAAGACCTTCCTGACTTATGGTGGGGATGGGTAAAGAAGTTGGATGAGACGATACCCAAACATGATTCCCAGGTTTACCTAAACAATGGAAGACTGTAGAAGATGCCATTAAGCTATCTCAAGAATATGGAAGATTATTATTTGCTTCTGATGGGACAGGACTTTACAGGGCATCTGAAAAATTTCCTATGAAAAATCACTTTTACAAAATGTCAAGTTATGATACCCAAGATGAAACCAATGAGTCACAACATTCACATAATACACTGTGCAACCCTGATCTCCTGTCATAAAATGTTTCTTACCTCTAAACCAAAGGTTCATTTTATAATTTAATTTTTCTCATGTTTTCTGTTCTCTTAGCTTAAAAAAAGATCATTACAAACTTTTGTATATTTTTCATATATGCTTGCAAAGGGTTTTAAACTTTTATTGTGATTATTCTTGCTTTAATTGAAACTTCCCTAATCTTTCTTTAGAGATTGTGGCATAGCATGCTAGTTTCCTGTCCATATCCAATTGTTTTCTGTAATGAATACAGAAGTACAGGCACTATTTTGTAACTTTAAATAGACATCATCTCAAGTCTACAAGAATTATCCAAAATGGTATCTAATGACATTTCTAGGTCTTCAGACACTATTAACGCAGATTGTAACCTCTAGGTCCTGAAGATTTTACTAGCTATTGGTTACTGAAACTGAGCTTTCTTGAATTCTTTTTCCTTCCACTGTGGTTTCCTGCATTTCAACTTATCACCTATTTTTGTCCTCAAACATTACTTAAATATTTTCCACAGAATTAAATTAAAAATGAATCATCCCTCCTCTGATTTTTGAAATGACCCTTTGCTTCCTATGATACTGATTCTTCTGGTCCTTTTTGTAGTTATATGTTAGAGTTTGTAAATATTCACACATGTTGCAATTGCATATAATTTTCTTAGTTATTTTTTCCTCTTCCCCTAAAGTTGCTGTTATTTCTTTTAACTTTTTGTGGGAAAAATTAAACCCATCATTCACTTTGTTGATATGGTTATTTGTAATTTAACTCCTTGATTTTTGCTCAAATTGCTTTTCAAGTTACCCACTTTTAGGGAACATATTATTTGGGTTTTGTTTAGTGTATCAGGCTTTTTTTAGCTTGTATCAAGAAGTGTAGACTTTTCTATACATAATATTCTTTTTCCCACAGTAGTTTTTTTTTTTAAAGTCTGTTAAAATAAAGGTCATCAAATGATCTTTTCCTAAACCTTTCCTCTACCAGAAATATCCCTGGAGTCACATGGGCCTTTCTCCCTTCTTGCTTTTGTAGGAGTCCAAAGCTAATCTGTCCCTGATCGGATTGCATGCACGTGTGCCTTTTGGGGCCCTTGTGCATTCGTTCTTCCTTCTCTTCTAACCTCAAAAATGTGTTTTCTCTGTTGGCTTTTTCCCTTTAACATAGAAGTATACTCACGCTTTTGTTCAATCTTGGAATAAAAGGCTTTCTTTACCACGTATCTCCCTTTAACTACTGCTACGTCTCTCTTCTCAGCCAAATACTAGGGAAGAGAAGCCCTGAGTTTGTGTCATTGTTTTCTCACCTCCAGTTCACTACTTTACCCACTGCCTGACACCCAGCTCACTCACACCCACAAGCCCAATCACTAAGTTGCCATAGCTGATTTGTAGCTTTCCTACCTCCTGGCAAAATTTGACTCTGTGCATTGGGATAATACATGCTGAGTACCTATTGAACAGGCACTGTGCTAGGTGCTGCTGTTAGAGAAATGAAAAGAAGGCATCATCTCCTTTCTAACAACTCACAGGAGCAGCCATTCCTGATTCATACGCAGGTCTCTTGACTCCCCGTGTTCACTTTTGTAAACTTCACTTAATGCCATGTAAATCACCCTATTCTCCAGATCTTCTTTCTTCCCACTTCTCCTTACTGTACACAACTTCTCAAGGCAATCACCTCCACGCCCATGGCTTCAGTTGCTTTCTCCATTCTCTGACAATAGAATTTTAAATGTTTTGTTTCATGTCTTTGCTTTATTTTATACAAGATGCTTCATTTGCTGTAACCATAGATTCAAAGTTGCTCCATGAAAGTGATAAATGAAAAATGATGATATTCTGAGCATGTAAATTTTAGGAAATTTCCCCAGTTACTCTTAACGGCTGATTTAGTATGTGTGTTATTTTTGAAAACATATGTTGGGATGTCACAAATGGACTTAGCCTACAGAAATTTATATTCAACTTTTGAACAGAGAGTTCCATTTTAATGTGACACTGAGAGTAAAAAACTATCTTTTCCTCCTTACCCATTTCTCTTCCTACATTGTCTGCCAGGAGGAAGGCATCCCTATGTACCCAGTCTTCCCCAGCAGAGCCTGAGCAGGTCTGTTTTCCCTCTACTTCCCCTTTTCTTTCACATTTCATGACCAAGCACTTCCTAGTCTGTCTCCCAAATGATCACAAACTTTTTCTTCCACTTTTGTCACTGCCACTGCCCTTAGCATTACTCTGCCTTTAGATAAAGTCTCTTAATTGGTCTGATTGCTTCCTTCAGTTCTTCCTTATTATACAGTCCACTACACACACATCTGACAGAGACTTTTCACCTTTTTATGGTTCAGTGACTCAAATTCCCAGAATAAAATTAAAATCACCCGAGCATCAAATTTGAGGTCAAATAGAGGTAGGTTTGTATCCCAGGTTCATATACTGTCCAGCAGTGTGGTCTCAGAAAACTGAACTCCTTAAGCCTTTGTTTGTGCATCTGCCTACACTCATTGAGAGTTGGGACTATTTCACACATACAGTGCCTGGCATGTAGAAGGGACTTAATCAATGTTGGATGAAGGGGAGGCATGTTAATATCCACGTCAAAAAAATGTTCTGTCCAGGAGCAGTGGCTCACGCCTGTAATCCCAGCACTTTGGGAGGCCAAGGCAGGTGGATCACAGGAGTTCGATGTCAGGAGTTCGAGATCAGATGCCTGACCAACATGGTGAAACCCCGTCTCTACTAAAAATACAAACATTAGCCAAGCATGATGGTGGGCTCCTGCCATCCCAGTTACTTGGAAGGCTTAGGTACTTGAATGAGAATCACTTGGACCCAGGAGGCAGAAATTGCAGTGAGTCAGGATTGTGCTAAAAAAAAAAAAAAAGTTCTTTTAAAAATATACTAATCTGGCTGGGCGCAGTGGCTTATGCCTATAGTCCCAGCACTTTGGGAGACTGAGGCGGGCAGATCTCCTGAAGTCTGGAGTTCAAGACCAGCCTGACCAACATGGAGAAACCCTGTCTCTACTGAAAATACAAAATTAGCCAGGCATGGTGTCACATGCCTATAATCCCAGCTACTTGGGAGGCTGAGGCAGGGGAATCACTTGAGCCCGGGAGGTAGAGGTTGCGGTGAGCCAAGATCGTGCTATTGCACTCCAGCCTGGGGAACAAGAGTGAAACTCCATCTCAAAAAAAGAAAAAGAAAAAATGTGTTCAGCAAAGTTGAAGCATAAAACGTTAATAGCCAGAATCATTTATCAATTGTATTTCTATAAATCTGCAAGACACAATCTGAAAATGAAATTAGAGAAACAATTTCACTGTGCAACAAGAGCAAAACTTCATCTCAAATAATAATAATAATCTACAATGTCACTTCCCGTCCAAGCTTGACTTCTACTTTTACTTTCTGATGTGATTTGGCCATGTCCCCACCCAAATCTCATCATGAGTTGTAATCCCCACAATCTTCATGTGTCAAGAGAGGGGCCTGGGGGGAGGTGACTGGATCATGGGGTAGTTTTCCTCATGCTGTTCTTGTGGTATTCAGTGAGTCCTCATGACATCTTACAGGGTTTTGCTTTGTTTTTTGGGATAGAGTCTTGCTCTGTCGCCCAGGCTGGAGTGCGATGGTGTGATCTTGGCTCACTGCAGCTTCTGCCTCCTGGGTTCCAGTGATTCTCCTGCCTCAGCCTCCTGAGTAGCAGGGATTACAGGCATGTGCCACCACACCCAGCTAATTTTTGTATTTGCAGTAGAGATGGGATTTCACTACATTAGCTAGGCTGGTCTCGAACTCCTGACCTCAGTTGACCCACCTGCCTTGGCCTCCCAAAGTACTAGGGTTACAGATGTGAGCCACTGTGCCCAGTTGAGATCTGATGGTTTTATACATGTTTGACGGTTGCTCCTTCACATGTTCACACTCTCTGTATGGCCACCATGTAAGTCAGATCTGGTTCCCTTCTGCCATGATTGTAAGTTTCCTGAGGCCTTCTCAGCCATGCGAAACTGTGAGTCAATTAAACCTCTTTCCTTTATAAATTACCCAGCCTCAGGTATTTCTTTATATCAGTGTGAAAACAGACTGATATAATTTCTGATAATCATGCTTGAGGAATTGGGGGATTCAGACTACCTGGGATCAAATTGTGGCCTCACCCTTAGCAGTCACATGACCTTGGGGAAGTTACTTACCTTCTCCATCTCAAGTTCTTCTGTAAAATCTGTAAATGAGATTGTTTCTGAAGGTTAAATGAGCATATCACAGTGGGGACACTGTCAGGCACATACTACTTGCCAGATGTCGAGTATTCATCTTTACTGAATTAGGATGGTGGTAACCCACTTTATGGCTCTCAATTTTGTATGACAAAATCATGCATAGTGCTTTGTTAGTAAAAGAAAGAAAATCTGAAAGTCCCTGCCATGGAAGGAAGAAATAGCGGGGAGAAAAGGGAGTTGGTAAGTTTCAGCATTTCAGAGCTTGGAGGGACAAGTTAGGTTTCTATTTTATGGAGAAGGAGGTGGAGGCAGGATGGGTCCCAAGGTGTCATTCAAGACACACAGCCATAACTCTTTATTGAGAATATGCTAGGGCCCCAGGGATTGCTGTGTTCAAGTTGCAGACAAAAACAACCACTCATTGGAAGACAGGAGAAGAGTGTTTAGTTACAAAAGCAAAAAAAATAGATACAAAAATAGATACATTCAGGTGTATCTATATTCAGTCAGCAAATAAAAGTTGTTCAACTTGGTTGCTAATGGGACCCACTCTAGTGAGGCTTTGTGTAGAACTCAGAGAGGAAGAAGGCTTCAAGTAACGAACTACCCTGTGCTTTTCTTAGGACTAAAAATCTCCGGAAGCTGGTGATGGATGAAAACCTTAGTCCCACTGGCACTGCACGAGGGGCCAGGAGAGCATCATCATCATAAGCCACAGGGTGGGGCAGCCCAGGCAGGGGCATTCTGAGCTGTTGGGGAGGGGTGGCAGCCAGGATGGGGCACTGTGAGCTGTCAGGGAGGGCATTATGAAGTGTGAGGTGGGGCATTGTGTGCCACATGCCTAGGCACCCACCTGGGCCAGTGGGCTTCAGTCTGTAGGTGACTACAAAAGGAGGAGGAGCTCCGTCTGTTCTCTCTTCAGGCAGTTGTTGTGTCTCTCAGTGCTTGTTGGGTTCACAACCTATTAAATAAGCGGGCTGGTCTTCACCCTCGCAGACAAGTCAGCTCAGGGGAAGCGGCAGGGTGCGGGCCTTGGCAGTCCCATCCGGGGCCGGGGCCGGGTTGTAAGGTGGGCAGGCGAGCAGCAGGCAAGACCATCTCTGCAAGTGCAGCATAGCCTTGGCCTAGGGCAGCGGGAGTGTGAGCCCAAGCTGTGAGCAGAGGCCCAGGTGGTGGCATACAGTAGAGGCGTTCCATGGGGAACATACTGACCTGTTGTGTGTGCCCCAGGATCAGCCCCGAGTTTGACCAGCAACAGGGGTCTGTGTGTCCCTCTGAATCTGAGATCTATGAGGCAGGAGCTGGGGACAGGATGGCAGGAGCTGGGGATGGGATGGCAGGAGCGCCCACTGTTGCTGCTGTGCAGCCTGCTGCGGTGACTGTTGAAGTTAGTAAGGACCTTCACATGCACCACATCCATGACCGGGAGATGCCTGAAGGTAAGGAGGTGACGGATGCCATCTGCCTTCTGCTTGCCTCTGGCTGCTGCTGCCCCCAAGGTCCCCTGGGAGGCACTGCCCACTTTGAGCTCCTTTCTGCCTGTAGCCAGCTTTCCCACGGGCTGGCCAGGAGCACAAGCTGGCTCTGCCTTGCATTCCCACCCCTTAGTCTTTCCCCACTGAGTCCAGTCAGTTTTTCTTTTCGCCTCCCCTCCCAATTGCCCAGTTCTTGCTCTCTCGTCTCATTCTCCCAGGCTGTCATGGGACCATTTATTTATGGCTCTTCTTGTTGAATAAGCAGCAGTCAAATAAATGAGTTGATAAATTTTTATAAATGATTACATCATTTTTCTTTTCTCCCTCTATACATATAGCTTTGGAGTTTAACCCTTCTGCCAATCCAGGGGCAAACACAATATTCCAGAGGAACTCTCAAACAGATGGTGAGACAACATTGTCTGTAACTCTATTTATTATCCTGTGGAACTTTGTCGAGGCTTCTTTGGAACATTCTCTTCCTTTTCTCAATAAAAACTCAGATATCCCAACTTTCCAGTACCCATCTTATTTTTTCTTCGTACCTATCCAGATGGTACCTAAGTGAAGGAACCAGGTAAGTGCCTAATTGTTTCCTTTGTTAAAGTAGCTAAATCTCAGGACAGTTCATATTCAGATATTTGGGGATTTCTTATTTAAAATCAGAATGGAGTTTGCTGTGGGAGAGGCTGTATGGTATTCTTAATGGGCTGCTTTAACTTACCTTGATAGAAGCTGCTTAGTTTCTTCTAACTAATTTGAATGCAGAAGGAAAAAAAAAAAGAGGGTGGTTAAAATAATTGTGAAAGGTGTGAAACATCATGAAAATGCAGAAAAATGGCTGTGTGTTGGGGGAGGGTTTGTCAAAGGAGTTTCCCCATGAGGCTCTGATGACTTTAAAATTCTTACTTTAACACAAAATGTGTCTCCAGATTTATTCTGGTGACTTAACAGATTTTATTTATCTCCTTGTTCTAAAAGAGAGGTGGGGCTCATGGTCAAAACTTTCAAAAGACATGAAATGTTAATGTAGACTTTTAATGTGTAATATAAAGATTGCAGGTTAGAATCTTCAACCTTCCCTGTAAGAGTGTTTGCTGCCTTGGCTCCCTCTTTGTCCTTTCCCCTCCTGACCAATAGCATCTTGTTCAAAGATAACAAAATTGGAGTTTTGGCCAGGCATGGTGGCTCTTGCCTGTAATCCCAGCACTTTGGGAGGCTGAGGAGGGCAGATCTCCTGAGGTCAGGAGTTCGAGACCAGCCTGGCCAACATGGTGAAACCCCGTGTCTACTAAAAAAATGCAAAAATCAGCTGGGCATTGTGGCGCATGCTTGTAGTTCCAGCTACTCTCGAGACTGAGGCAGGAGAATTGCTTGAACCTGGGAGGTGGAGGTTGCAGTGAGCAGAGATTGTGCCAATGCACTCCAGCCTGGGTGATAGCGTGAGACCCCATCTCAAAAAAAAAAAAAAAAAGAAGAAGAAGAAAGAAAGAAAGGCAGGAAGGAAGGGAAGGGAAGGAAGGGAAGAACGGGAAGAAAGGGAAGGAAGGGAAAGAAAAGAAAGAAAGGAAAGAAAGAAAGTTGGAGTTTTGGAGTTTTTCAGTCTCTACCCTGCTGGAAGAGGCGGGGGATGGGAGGCAGTAGAAAAGGGAAAACAATTAGTTGGTTTACCTCTAAAATTTTGCAAAGAGATGAACTAAGTAGAAGTAATTCCAGGTAATAATATGATTCTTGAATAAAAACTAAAATTTTCAAGATAGAAAACATTGCATCACAATGAAATTAAATCCAGTTGGCTTATTGGTTTCATTTAAATGCCAGAGATTTCATTGTTGTAGAGGAAATGTCTTGAAGCTCTTCTATTTAAACTTTGGTTGGGCTCTTAATTTTTTAAGAGGTAGGATAATTAAGACTCATGATGAGTATGACTTTGTAACTTGGAAGTACTATCCTCACTTTTCAAGATATTTAAAGATTGCTTTAGAATAAACAAATATATGAATTAATTGATTATACACCTTTATACACAAAGCATGTAAGTAGTTGTGTAAACTTATACTCTCCTTGGTGATGTAAGGAAAGCCTCTGAGTGATATTACACACCCGTTAGTAGTGGGGTAGTGTTGGATGAGAGCCCAGAAATGGCTCTTTATTGTCATTCTTTAGGATTACAACACAGTTTATGTATGTCTCACTTGGCCCTTTCCAATACAAATAAGGCCTGTGTATGTTCTCCCTTTGTATTGCTAATGAAAAAATGAAGACTTAGAGATATCACATGACTGTGGAAGACAGCTACGCAACAAAACTAAGGTTCTGTGTCCTCAGAATGACATGGAAGTGACAGATATGCTGAATTTACTTTTTAAAAATTTTAAAAACTCTAGAATACATCTTATACTTTGCCTAAAAAATAGACCTGTCTTTTAAAACTTACTGCCATCTTGATTTATTTTATGCAAAGTTGATTTTACACAATTCAAAGCCAACATTTACCTCTTTTTTTTTTTTTTTTTTTTAAATAAAGGAGGGTGTCACTATGTTACTCATGCTGGCCTCAAATTCCTGACCTGGGTTCAAGTGATTTTCCTATCTCAGCCTTCTGAGTAGCTGGGACTACAAGCATGTGCCATGTTGCCTGGCTCTATCTTACGTCCATACATTCATTTCAATGGATAAGAATAAAAGTAGAGATAGTGACATAGCCTAAATGCAGCAGTTGAATAAATGAATTGATAAAGTTTTATAAATGATTACATCTTTTTTCTTTTCTCCCTCTATACATATAGCTTTGGAGTTTAACACTTCTGCCAATCCAGAGGCAAGCACACTATTCCAGAGGAACTCTCAAGCAGATGGTGAGACAACATTGTTTTTTCCACTGAGAGAAAGAATAAAAACTCTTGTTTGATCAGGTGTATTATAGGAAGTATTTAGAAAAACTCATATTGGTTTAAATTTTTCAACTTTTCACATATTCACTTGTCTTATTTTAACATGTGATATACTTTCCTTTAGTTATCTTGTTAGTGAAAACATGTAAACTTTTCGTTTATACATTTTGCCATCTTTTTATCAACACAATTAATTTGTCATGTGACGGAGGAGTCATGGATTTCTCTTTATTCACAATTCTTGGTCCCTTTTCCCTTGCTCCAAAGAGTACATTTTAAAGATGAATGATAGAACTTAGGCTCCAGCTTGGTTTTCATTTAAATAAATTAAAAAACGTAGCTGTTTATCATCGGGGATTGAATATGTCATTTGGGCCTCCTCTCACACAGTCCTCTGACCGCATTCATTTACCACATCCAAGTTCATGCTACTCAAAACTTTTAAGTTATTAACCTTTTCATTTGATGTAATGTCAATTTAAACATGCCCTACTCCTGCTTATTTTCCTTAATGTTATGCTAAGTCCTCATTTATTTGCTAAAAAGCCATACACAGCCAAGTTTTCCAGTTGACTTAAACAGCAAGAATACAAGTGAGGGTTCCATAATAATATGCGAAGTAATGCAGCACAGTAAAACATGGGAGTTTGTAAACTTTGTTTTTATAGTTTGAGTAGACTTTGCCCATCTTGAGTCAATTATTTGTGGTTAGAATTTGTGTTCATTTTTTACATTACTATAAAGAGATACCTAAGGCTGGGTAATTTATAACAAAAAGAAGTTTAATCAGCTTATAGATCTTCAGGCTGTACAAACATGGCTTCAACATCTGCTTCTGGAGAGGGCCTCAGCAAGCTTACAATCATGATAGAAGGCAAAGGGGAAGCAGGTTTTTCCACATGGTAAAGAGGGAGGAGAGAGGGGAAGGGGAAAGGTACCACACTTTTTTTTTTTTTTTTGAAGTGAAGTCTTGCTGTGCTGCCCAGGCTGGAGTGCAATGGTGTGATCGTGGCTCACTACAACCTTCGCCTCCCAGATTCAAGCAATTTTCCTGCCTCAGCCTCCTGAGTAGCTGGGAGTATAGGTGAGCACCACAACACCTGGCTAAGTTTTGTGTTTTTGGTAGAGACAGGGTTTCTCCATGGTGGCCAGGCTGGTCTCAAACTCCTGACCTCAGGTGATCTGCCCACTTCAGCCTCCCAAAGTGCTGGGATTACAGGCTTGAGCCACTGCACCTGGCTGGTACTACAGTCTTTTAAACTACCATGATGAGAATTTGCTTATTACCATGGGAATGGGACCAAACCATTCATAGGGAATCCCCCATCATTACCCAAACACTTCCCAGTACGCCCTAATGTTCAAGATAGGAACATTAAGGGTCATATGTTAACATGAGGTTTGGAGGGGGAACATATCCAACACATATCAGAATTGTATTTCCCAGCTCCTTCCAGAGCCATTGGCTTCTCTCACCTAGAGAGCATGGAAGCGGTAAAAGAAAAGCTATTCCATGTCCCTCACTTTTCAGTGGTAGGAACTTTTGCCTACAAGGCCCTTCCAGCATCAAAGGCAGAAGCAGTGTAGGAAACAAAGTATGGCCCAAGTCCCTCTTAAGGCTTTTATTATTCTGGCCTTTTTTTAGAAAAACAAAAATGATTTCTTTGTGCTGCAGACACCATGTCCAATTAGGTTTGTATACTCATTTTACAATTAAAATTTAGGCCAGGCTCTGTGGCTTATGCCTATAATCCCAGCTCTTTGGAAGGCCGAGGTGGGTGGATCACAAAGTTAGGAGATCAAGACTATCCTGGCTAATGCAGTGTAACCTCATCTCTACTAAAAATTCAAAAAAATATATATATATATATTAGCTAGGCATGGTGGCACATGCCTGTAGTCCCAGCTAGTTGGGAGGCTAAGGCTGGAGAATCGCTTGAACCTGGGAGTCAGAGAGGTTGCAGTGAGCTGAGATCCCACCACTGCACTCCAGCCTAGGTGACAGAGTGAGACTCCATCTCAAAAAAAAAAAAAAAAAAAAAAAATTAGGATACATTACTTTTGAGTTGTGTAAAGACCCCTTTTTTGTTTTGTTTTGTTTTTAGTGGCATATTAGTAGGTAACCACTAAGTGTGGTTCAAGATGCTCACAGGGATTCTGTTGCATCTAGAGATAGGTGCCTGGTCAGGAAGTAGTTCTTAGAGCTGTTAGCTCTTAGCTTCTGATAATTAAAGTAAGCTATGTGTAAATGCAGAATGAGAGAATACTGATGGATCATGGCTCGTATATAGAACAGTTAAACTCTTTATTAGCTAATTTTTTCATCTGGCCTAATTTTTTTTGCCCTTATCTTTTGTACATGATGATTCTTTCATTTGTATGTAATAGAAACAAAAGGTAAAGCAGATGAAAAACTAAGTTTTTAGATTTGACTTTGTGACATTAATTGTGCCAGATAATTTAAATTATAAATTATTGAAAATAATATTTTAAATGGAATTTTGTCTCATTTTATATAGGAGTAATCAGTAAGATGTTAACAGCTACTTTTATTTTATGGTATTTGTATCAGAAGTGACCAGTTTGTTTTTTTTTTATTCTTAGTGATAGAAATAGGAAGAAGCAATTATACAAACCATGTAAGTAAACAGTCAAACAGTTACGAAATTGATAGTTTGACATAAAAGTTGTGTCTCTTGATTTCTTTAAATTACAATGTGGACCCAGTGGTGGTAGCGGGGACCTCTTTTTGTGGATTTTCTAAATCTCTTCTCTTTTCCTAAGTATTAAATTTATTCAGAAAAGTCTTTAGCTTAGTGTGTCCATCTTTTAAAGATTTCTGATATTTAAGTTAAAATTCAATAGTCTGGTTGTGATAAAAAGATCTGCCTTAAGACTGGGCATCATGGCTCACGCCTGTAATCCCAGCACTTTAGGAGGCCAAGGTGGACGGATCATCTGAGGTCAGGAGTTTGAGACAACCGTGACCAACATGGTGAAATTCTGTCTCTACTAAAAATACAAAATTAGCCGGTCGCGGTGGTGCATGCCTGTAATCTCAGCTACTCAGGAAGCTGAGGCAGGAGAATTACTTGAACCTGGGAGGCGGAGGTTGCAGTGAGCTAAGATGGCGCCATTGTACTCCAGCCTGGGCCAGAGAGTGAAACTCTGTCTCAAAAAAAAATAAATAAATAAAAAGAAAAGAAAAGAAAAAAAAACTGCCTTAAATATTTAATCTTATTTTAAATGAAATAACAAAACTAGAATAGCTAAGTTAATTGCCAGCCCTGTCTATTGACTTTCTATCACAGCAAGTAAAAGCATACCTTCCTCACTACACCATGATCTTATTTTTCTCCCTCCTTTTCTTCCAATTGTAGCACAAGTTTTACTAAATCAGTAATATTTACATGATTATGACTGCAAATATTATTCACTGCTAAGTCATATGGTGTTTTCACTGTGCCTCTGCATTACATGTCCTTCACCCTGTCTCTGAAACAGTTCTGAAATCTGAGCACTTCTGCAATTCTCCTGGATCTTCCCTTTTTTCCTAGCCGATGTTAGTTTATCCATCCAAATATAGTAAGTAGCCTCTGGGTGGTCTGTTTGCTTTCACATCCATTATTTTTTAGCGTGAAGCTAATTTTCTGACTATATTCCTTTGCTTATTTTCTAATAGCTGTTTTCCCCCAAGTGTTGTAGCATTTATCACATGCCTTTCAAAGATATTTTCTGTCTGTGAAAACACATTTGTTCCTTTTTTTCTTTGTAGGAGGGCAACTTTCTTTGGCCCTTTGTCATCCTAGTTCAGTATGGAGTGGCTTTCCCTAGATAGGCTCGATGTCTGCTTTTCTGTGCTATCTCCTTAAAGTCTTTTGGGATCTCATATAACTGCTGTCTTGTGTGGGATCGCCTGAGTCCCTGATTCTGTCCCTGAGTCCCTGATTTTCCTTCTGTCCTGTTATCCTCTCTAGTTGTACTTGAACACATTTTCCTGGGTGGAGATGTTTAGAGAGCTGACCAGTCTTAAAATCCCTCCTCTTTGACAGAGAAGACACCTCTAGGTTAAATCTATATTTTATGGTTCTGAAGACATTTCGCAGTTGTGCTCTCATTACAGTGTTGTTCTTGAATCTATTGCCAGTGTGTGACACATTATTTACAACCAGGTTTTAGGTATCTATGGAAGCTTTTTAGGATCTTCTATAACTCTGAGGTGCTGAAATTTTATAATAACAGCTTGGTGGGAGCTGGGCGCGGTGGCTCACGCCTGTAATCTCAGCACTTTGGGAGGCTGAGGTGGGTGGATCACGAGATCAGGAGTTCAAGACCAGCCTGGCCAATATGGTGAAACACCATCTCTACTAAAAATAGAAAAACTAACCAGGAGTGGTGGTGCACACCTGTAGTCCCAGCTACTTGGGAGGCTGAGGTAGGAGAATCACTTGAACTGAGGAGGCAGAGGTTGCAGTGAGCTGAGATTGCACTACTGCATTCCACCTGGGCAATAGAAAGAGACTCCATTTCAAAACAAAAAAAAAGCAGTCACAGCTTGGTGGGGATCTTTTCATTTTATTGAGGCTGCTAAACCTGCGAACTATTTCTTCTTGAGAATTTTTTATTTTCTCTGTTACTTTTTTACTAGTAGTCTTGTTATTCAGATGCTAGGCTGCTTAGACCAGTATACAGGCATTCGTTCTTAATTTTTCCCCTTCTATTTTTTTCAGTTTTTCTACTTCTGGGATATTCTGTCATTTTATCCTCTACTATTTCTATTGAATTTTATATTTTTTGAGAGTGTTTTAAGATTTGTTTTTAAGTTTTTCTCCTGGTTTTGACTGCTCTCATGAATTCCTTTTTTCTGTTGTTTTGATCTCTTCTGTTGGAGGCTTCTCTCCAATGTGTGGTGGTACCTGGATTGCTTTATTTGGAAGCAGGACTTTCTGTTAACTGATATTTCTCAGTGTGAGGTTTTTCTGGCTCACAGATACCATGGCTTAAACCTGAGATATATGGTTTGGGATGGGAATTCTGTTAAGTTTGTAGATTGCTTTTGGCAGTATGGTCATTTTCACAATATTCATTCTACACATTCATGAGCATGGGATGTCTTTCCATTTGTTTATGTCCATGATTTCATCCAGCAATGTTTTGTAGTTCCCAACAGCATATCAAAAAAATACTCCAACCTGGCGCGGTAGCTCACGCCTGTAATCCCAGCACTTTGGGAGGCCAAGGCGGGCGGATCACGAGGTCAAGAGTTTGAGAACAGCCTGGCCAACATGGTGAAACCCTGTCTCTACTAAAAATACAAAAATTACCCGGGCATGATGGTGCATGCCTGTAATCCCAGCTACTCAGGAGGCTGAGGCAGGAGAATAGCTTGAACCTGGGAGGTGGAGGTTGCAGTGAGCCAAGATTACCCTACTGCACATTCTAGCCTGGGTGATAGAGGGAGACTCCATCTCAAAAATAATAATAATAATCCACCATGATCAAATGGGTTTCATACCAGGGATGCAGGGATGGATTAACATACACAAGTCAATGAATGTGATACACCACATAAACAGAATTAAAAACAAAAAATCACATGATCATCTCAATAGACACAGAAAAAGCATTTGACAGAATGCAGCATCCTTCTATGATTAAAACCCTCAGCAAGATCAGCATACAAGGGTCATACCTCAATGTAATAAAAGCCATCTATGACAAACCCACAGCTAACATAATACTGAATGGGGAAAAATTGAAAGCATTTCCCCTGAGAACTGGAACAAGACAAGGATGCCCACTCTCACCACATCTTTTTTTTTTTTTTTTTAACAAACATAGACTTTATTAAATGCTGCTCAATCCCCCAGTGAAGATCTTTTATTACAAAACAAAACAGTTTTCCACACAACTGCAAGTTAAGAGATTGGAATGGTACTCTGATAACAAAAGATGTAAGAAACACTTGACCAAGTAAAAACATAGAAGACTTCTGTACAGTCAACCTTTTCAGAGCTCTACAGAGGAAGCCTACTGCATTTCCTTTAAATAAAGCCAGACAGTGACAACTAGTGCTCTGTATCACCACACTGTGGGACTCAAAGCCTCCATCCCTAGGTCAGGAGGGACTAGGTGAAGGGCAGGTCGTGAGGACTGGAAAGGCCCTGCCTTCAGCCTTTGAGAGGAGGAGGAGGAATGACTTGAGAGGCAAGCTGGGTAATTCACCTGAGCTGCCTCTACCCATCCGTTACGACTCTGGGGAATTGCAGAGGAAGGGGGATATTCATGAGGAACAATCTGAAGAATTTTGGTTTACTTTCCCAGCTTTTATTTATATTTTGTGCTTTAAAAAGCCTGGAGATTTAAGGTTTTGTCTAAATTCCAGAGTACAGTAATATATTTCTTGAGGAAGGGGTTAGGGCAGGTAATTCCCCCCTCATATTTCTGGATGAGACAAAGAGAAGGGTAAGGATGATACCTTAGTTTTATTTTAGGAAGTATTCTTTTTCCTAGGACGTAACTAAGGTTTGCAGCAGTCACTCTCACCACTTCTATTCAACATAATACTGGAAGGCCTAGCCAGAGCAATCACACAAGAGAAAGCAATAAAAGGCATCCAGATCGGTAAAGAGGAAGCCAAACTGTTGCTGTTTGCTGATGATATATGATCATATACCTAGGAAACCCTAAAGACTCTTCCCAAAAGCTCCTAGAACTGATAAATGAATTCAGCAAAATTTCAGGAGACAAAATTAATGTACACAAATCAGTAGCTATGTTATACCCCAACAGCAACCAAGCTTAGAATCAAACCAAGAACTCTGCCCCTTTTATGATAGCTGCAAAATAAAATAAAATAAAATAAAATACTTAGGAATAGACCTAACCACGGAGGTGAAAGACCTCTACAAGGAAAACAACATTAGTATTTTTAATGGGTTAAAATGAGAGGCAGCAGGTACAGCTGAAGAAGGCGGTGGGCCTCGGCGTCCAACGGGTACTGGACCTTTGATTTTGGTTTTGACTTACTAAATTACTAGGTACAATTATTTTCTAGTTTTTGTCATTAAACCTTAAAACTACTAAGTAACCCCTTCCATTTCTTATTAAAGAGCATACAATTTCATACTCTGATTTATGCTGACTGACGTTAGATTATTTGTTTCTATTTTGTAACTACTTTAAATAATACCTATAAACAGTAAACTGTTAGTAGTGTTTTTGCTGTAATTAAATGTAGTAAGACTTATCTTCCAAATGATAACTGAATTGTCAAACACTTGTCGAGGTTTTGGATTTACTCAAAATTCTATGCTCAGCAGCTGGAGGTAGGAAGAGTAGGGCCCTCCCGTACTCTTATGGAGAGGCATACTGTCTCATGAGGGGAATACTCTGCAAGAATTCGTATCTTGTAAACAGTGGTGACTTCGAGCAATCAGTGAACAAAAAACCATTTTTTGGTGTGGCTGCCGACAAAGAGATCCAAGAGGGTAGATGGAGTCAAGCTTGCTGAAGCAAGGAAAGAGAAAAGCAGTATTCTAGGGAGAGAGCAGGGCTAGAGCAGGAAAATGGCTACGTGCAGGTCAGATGATTTATAGATTGAAATTGATCAAGTTTTGAAATGAATAGAAAGTATTTTCTGAGAGTCTCATTTGAGTCATGTCATGGCAGTCTTATTTAAACATGAAGTGAAAGTTAGATTTTTTAAGTTGTCATCTGTTTTCAGGGTGTGAGAGAATATTTAAGTGATACTCTTTTTATCCTCCACATAAGAAAATAGGACTAGAGAAACCTGTGACTTCCTCACTTGTTGGTGGCCTAGCAGCCCTGGCACACAGAGCCTCTGAATCTGAAACACTTGTTTTGTCCCAATATCACCTGAAATAATACATTTAGGATGAGTAATTTAGTAAATGCATTAGTCTTGTATTCACTGCAATAAAATGCTCTTGTACCAGTATTATTTAATGCATTACATTTTATCGTAGTAAATAAATCATAGAAATAGAAATTCTCAGCTGCTTTATATTGCTGTAGAAAAAAAAAATCTTACTTTAAACTTCTCATGATTTTTAAAGGTAATTCATAAAATCCTTGTTAGGTTTGATGGCAGGTACCATATTAAGGGCAGCATTTTATAACCCGTATCTTAAACATCGTCTCTGGAAGTTAAGAGCCTCCAATGGGTTTTCTATAGAGTGCAAATGATACCGCACTCAGGCAGTTCATGGAGTGTAAGAAATATCTTAGTGCTTTGTCATTTCACATTTTAACCAAGAAAACTTTGATAAGTGTAACTTATACTTCCCTTCCCCTTCAGGTATCTACTGTGCATTTCAGTCAACAATACAGCTCATGTTTGACAATATTCCTTGACAGCACAGCCAGCCAGCCTTATCTTACAATGACAATAATATCGTGAGTACAACTATACTGCCAAGGGACAGATTCGTTTATTCTAAAATTATTTCAGCCATTTGGTTGTCCTCTTCCATAATCACTTTAAGAAATTAGAATCAACTATATATTGATATTCAGATTCTAAATATTAAGTATCAATTTCTCTTTTAATCTTAGACTTCGGCCGGGCGCGGTGGCTCAAGCCTGTAATCCCAGCACTTTGGGAGGCCGAGACGGGCGGATCACGAGGTCAGGAGATCAAGACCATCCTGGCTAACACGGTGAAACCCCGTCTCTACTAAAAAATACAAAAAAAATAGCTGGGCGAGGTGGTGGGCGCCTGTAGTCCCAGCTACTTGGGAGGCTGAGGCAGGAGAATGGCGTGAACCCGGGAGGCGGAGCTTGCAGTGAGCTGAGATCCGGCCACTGCACTCCAGCCCGGGCGACAGAGCGAGACTCCGTCTCAAAACAAAAAAAAAAAAAAAAAAAAAAAAAAACTTAAGACTTCTTGGTGGAAGGAAAAAAAAAATCACTTAGCAGAGAAGCAATCCTAGAAAAAGTGTGATCATTTTGATGCCTTTATGCCTTTAGACAATGTTAAACAAGTGAGAAGGATAGGTTCCCTTTATTGAATTTTTTTTGTGAAAACTTAGCTTTTCAATGCATTATAGACCTGAATCAGTGTGTACTATTTTGGACATTAGCCTTGGAAGAAGGAACAGCTTTTCCTCTTGTGACACCACACTGTATCTGCATTAGAATTTCTCCTATTGTGCATGAGCACCTCATAGGCCACAAAGATGCACTTTGAGAGCACCCTGAGATGAAGTTTATTTTAAAAGGAACAACAACCAACACTACCACCAGCTCCATAGGGGCTGTCCAGTGCACATTATTACCATTTCCTTGGGTCATGAGTGTTGATTTTTAGAACACAGTTTGGAAAGTAGTAATTTAGAATATTAATGTCTTTAATTTTACTTTTCGTTCTGTAAACATAACTAGCTTTTAAACAATTGTGTTGCTAATACGCTAGCCTTTTTAGTTAATTCAATTGTCAGTAACTTTTACTTCAATTAAAAATGGCAAGTTTACACTCATAATAATGTCACTTTCCTCTCTCCCTTTTAACAATAGTTGAGAGGAAATTATGTTTCAGCAAAAACTGGACTCAAACTCTGTCCATTAAGTCCTGAGCTTTGGGACCTATTGAGTAATCACTAAATGTCTGTAGTCAGCCGAGTCTCTTAAATCTTTGAACACACATACACAAAAACTACTTTGACTAGAGTCCCTGGCTTCTTTTGAGTTCAAAAGATTCTGATGTGTTAGCATACAATTCAAAAGTAGCTTTGGAGATTAATTTTGCTCAAACAAATTTCATGCTTTTTTTCTCATTATTCTACTTTGTAGAAGTCTACTTTTGAAAGTAAAGTAACTTTTAATTTGCTGTCAGCAAGTTTGAGAAATAATCATTTGGTATATTCACTATTGGTGAAATAAAGGCTTATTGAGCAAATTAATAGGGTAAATTGGCTTCAAGAAAAGATTTTGAAAAATGTTTATCACAAGTCAGTAGTGCAGTGTTGTCAGTGGGATAGGTGGAACTCACTGAGATCACTTATGCAAGGTTTTTTTTTTTTTTCAAAATACCATACATCATGAGAATATACTACAGAGAACTAAAGAGAAAGGAAGCTCAGAAATCTGAATCACGTTTACATTTATTAAAGTTCATCACTACTGCTTTGTAAAACATTCTTGTGTTTCAGTGTGTGGTGTGATTAGAAGAGTGAAAATATATTTGGTTTATTGCCATTGCCTGTTAGGGAGAGTCAATACTTACAGGCATTTCTGATTTGTTATATAAAACACTTCACAGTACAGGACACGAAGTGCTGATAAAGAAGAAGTCAGGAAATCCTCTGCAAGTCAGGATCCAGGAGGAGAATTCGTAAAAATTGCTTTGGTAAACACCAAAGCACACAGGAGGCAGTATTTTACTAAACAGATATTATACTAAGATATTAACAGTTTTTGAAGTAATGCACATTCCTATTTTATAGAGATGCAGATGGATCTTTGACCTTATTTGATGAACAGTTATACTCATTTACTGTAAGTAGCACTTTTACTGAGGTTGTATTTTCATCATACACTTGTATCTGTTTCATGCTGAAGCCAAAGTCATCTTTTTAAAAATCTTTCCCATTTCATGTTGCATTTAGTCATCTTAAGTGTTGTAAAAAGAATATGCTGGAATAAGAATGGATCTGCAACTCTGTTTAGTTAGTTAGCTATTATGAGTAAATATGCTATCCAAAACAGAAAATGTATTTTATTTTATTTTTTTTCTGAGGTGGATTCTCTTTCTGTAGCCAGGCTGGAGTGCAATCGTGCAATCTCAGCTCACGGCAGACTCTGCCTCCCAGGTCCCTGTTCAAGCAATTCTCCTGCCTCAGCCTCCCAAGTAGCTGGGATTACAGGCATATGCCACCGTGCCCAGCTAATGTTTTTTTTCTTTTTTAAGGAAAGACAGGGTTTCACCATGTTGGCCAGGATGGTCGTGAACTCCTGACCTCGTGATCCACCCGCCTCGGCCTCCCAAAGTGCTGGGATTACAGGTATGAGCCACCGTACCTGGCCCAGAAAATGTATCTTTTTAAAAGGTAACTGTGAGCTGTCTACAGGACCCTGCAACTCACTACCCAATTTTCGAAGCCATTCCTTCTTCTGTTCCACACAGGTTTCCACCATGCACATTACCCAGATGAGAAATGGAGGTGGGAGTTTTAGTAACTATTCCTCCTCCATTCCATCGACTCCCAGCACCAGCCAGGAGGACCTTCAGATCAATGTTCCTCCCACTGCCAACACACCCACGCCCATTTGCAAGCAGTCCAAGCACTGGTCCAAGCTGTTTACATCTAAGAAAGGGAGTGACCCGGACAAAGAGAACAAAGCCCCGGAGAGTCATACTGACACCATCGGGAGCGGCAGAGCCATCCCCATTAAACAGGGCATGCTCTTAAAGCTAAGTGGGAAATGGCTGAAGAAATGGAAAAAGAAATATGTTACCCTCTGTGACAATGGCATGCTCACCTATTATTCAAGCTTAGGTGATTACATGAAGAACATTCATAAAAAAGAGATTGATCTTCGAACATCTACCATCAAAGTCCCAGGAAAGAGGCCACCCCTAGCCACATTGGCCTGCGTGCCCATTTCCAGCTCTAAAAGCAATGGCCTATCCAAGGACATGAACAGTCTATGTACCTCAGCCAATTCAGACACCAGGCTGAGTGACTCCATATGCTCCAGCTCCAATATCTCCAGCACCACCAGCCCCAAGCGCAGCCCACCCCCCTCTCCTCATGCCAACAAAAGGAAACATGGAAGGAAGAAAAGCACCAAACACTTAAAAGACGATGGCTTCTCCGGCACTGCTGAAGAACGAGAAGAAAACTTTATCATTGTGTCCCTCACTGGCCAAACATGGCACTTTGAAGCCACGTCGTATGAGAAGTGGGATGCCTGGGTCCAAGCCATCGAGAGCCAGATCCTGGCCAGCCTGCAGTCATGCGAGAGCAGCAAAAGCAAGTTCTGGCTAATGAGCTAGAGGGAGGCCATGGCCCTGCAGTCCATCCGAAATGTGTGGGAACTCCCACTGTGTGCACTGTGAGACCCAGAATCCTAACTGGGCCAGTTTGAACTTGGGAGTCCTCATATGTATTGAATGCTCAGGGATCCACTGTAATCTTGGCACCCGCCTTTCCCGAGTCTGATCTCTGGACTTGGATGACTGGCCAGTCGAGCTCATGCAGGTTTTGTCATCTATTGGCAATGAGCTAGCCAACAGCATCTGGCAAGAGAGCAGCCAGGGGCGGAAGAAACCCTCAGTAGACTCCACAAGGGAAGAGAAGGAATGGTGGAACCGTGCCAAATATGAGCAGAAGCTCTTCCTGGCTCCATTACCCTCCACGGAGCTGTCCCTGGGCCAGCATCTGCTGCAGGCCACCACTGATGAGGACCTGCGGACAGCCATCCTGCTGTTGGCACATGGCTCCCGGGAGGAGGTGAATGAGACCTGTGGGGAGGGAGACAGCTGCACGGTGCTCCATCTGGCCTGCCGCAAGGGGAATGTGGTCCTGGCGCAGCTCCTGATCTGGTACGGGGTGGATGTCATGGCTGGAGATGCCCACGGGAACATAGCGCTGGCCTACGCCCGGCAGGCCTCCAGCCAGGAGTGCATCAAGGTCCTGCTGCAGTACGGCTGCCCCGACGAGCACGTGTAGTATCTGTTTAATTTTATTTGACTGCAGTCTCCTTGGTGCAAAAACAAAATGGGGAAATAAATAAGAATAACTCGGAAATTCAAAAGGAAATCACAAATTCAGCTAATAGCAGCATTTTCAGTACATTTCGTAAACTAAGTACATAGACAAAATGTTGATTTTTCCGACGGTAAGAGATATTTTATGTCCTTTTGCTTAGGTGTATGTGTTAGTCTCAGGCCCTCCTGGGCGACATTGCCCGAGTCACACAGGCTTCTGTATTATGTATTTAGATATGTGAAAATATATTTGAAAAAAGTTCATAACTGTGCATTGATTTTTGTACACATGGCACCGCTTTTTTTTTTTTTTTTTTTTTAATATGGTGTCTCACTCTGTTGCCCAGGCTGGAGTGCAGTGGCACAATCTCGGCTCACTGCAAGCTCTGCCTTCCGGGTTCACGCCATTCTCCTGCCTCAGCCTCCCAAGTAGCTGGGACTACACGCACCTGCCACCACACCTGTCTAATTTTTTGTATTTTTAGTAGAGACAGGATTTCACCATGTTAGCCAGGATGGTCTTGATCTCCTGAACTTGTGATCCACCTGCCTCGGCCTCCCTAAGTGCTGGGATTACAGGCATGAGCCACCGTGCCCTGCTGGATGTTGATTTTTATCAAAAGCCTTTTCTGCATCTATTGAGAAAACCATGTGGTTTTTGTCTTTAGTTGTCTTTATGTGACAAATCACATGTATTGATTTGTGTATGTTGAACCAACCTTGCATCCCAGGGATAAAGCCTACTTAACTGTGATGGATAAGCTTTTTGATGTGCTGCTGGGGCTGAGTTTTGTTGAGAATTTTTGCATTGATATTCATCAAGGATATTGGTCTGAAGTTTCCTTTTTTTGTTGTGTCTCTGCCAGGTTTTGGTATCAGGATGATGCTGGCCTCACAGAATGAGTTACGAAGGAGAAGAGAAGGAGTCCCTCCTCCTCAATTTTTTGGAATAGTTTCAGCAGGAATGGTACCACCTCTTCTTTGTACATCTGATAGAATCCAGCTGTAAATCTATATGGTCTTGGGCTTTTTTTTTTTTTTTTTTTTTGGTAGCCTATTTGTTACTGATTCAGTTTCAGAGCTCATTCATTATTGGTCTGTTCGGGGATTCTATTTTTTCCTGGCTCAGTCTTGGGAGGGTGTATGTGTCCATGAGTTTATCCATTTCTTCTCAATTTTCTTGTGTGTGCATAGAGGTATTCATAATATTTTCTGATGGTTATTTATATTTCTTTGGAGTCAGTAGTAATATCTCCTCCATTGTTTCTAACTGTGTTTATATGGATTTTCTCTCTTATTAGTCTAGCTAGCAGTCTTTCTATTTTATTGATTTTTTTCAGAAAACCAACTCCTGGATTCATTGATCTTTTGAATACTTTTGTATTTCAGTCTTCTTCAGTTCAGCTCTGATTTTGGTTATTTATTGTCTTCTGCTGGCTTTGGGGCTGGTTTTCTCTTGGTTCCTTTGTTATTTTAGTTGTGATGTTAGGTTGTTAAATTGAGATATTTCTAACTTTTCGGTGTGTGTATTTAGTGCTGTAAATTTCCTAAGACTGCCTTGGTTGTGTCCCAGAGATTCTGGTATGTTGTATCTTTTTTCTCATGAGTTTCAAAGAACTTCTTAATTTTGTCCTTAAGTTCATTATTTACCCAAAAATCATTTAGGAGCAGGTTATTCTATTTTAAATTTAACATTTATGAAATGCTTACACATTTTAACTAGCCTTTTTAAAAGTGCAATGAGAACTATTAACAAAGAGATAATAGATACATGAAATGATGCTTATCAATTTACTTAACTTTGCATTTTTCTGCCACTTCTATTTTGTGGGAGTCAAAGTCTCTTTGAAGGTCTCTAAGAACTTGCTTTATGAATCTGGGTGCTCCTGTTTTGGATGCATAAATATTAATATTTAGAATAGTTAAGTTTTCTTGTTCAATTCAACACTTTACCATTATGCAATGCCCTTCTTTGTGGGCCAGTCCCAGAGAAAGTCTATTATATTTCACTCAATTTTCTTGGAAACCTGTCTTCTTTAAAGTGTGTTGGGACCCAGGTGCTATGAAGTATATTCTTATTCCCCACCTACAAGATATGTAAATTATTGATGCTGTTAAAAGACAAACTTTAGACAAATTTAAGAGAGTTTAATTGAGAAAAGAAAAAAAAAAGATTTGCAAATCAGCCCTTAGAATCAAAGAAATTTCAGAGAGACTTTGGCACTGTTGCATGGTCAAATATCTATGGGAAAAAAATGTAATGTGCAGAAACCAAAACTGAGATACAGAAACAGCTGGATTGGTTGCAGCTCAGCATTTGCCTTATTTAAACAAAGTTTAAACAGTTGGCTGCCTATGAGTGGTTAAAGTATAGCTACTGGGATTGGCTGAGACTAAGCTGTTGTTACAGGGAAACATACTACTAAAGTTAGGCTTTTAGTTTGTTTACCTGCTAAGTATGTGAGTATGGAGATTTTTCAGGCTAGATTTTAGTTTTATTCAGTAATACATTATGGGATCTGAAGGACACTTTTGTAAAGGTTGAAACAAACATATTTTGTGCACATTTCCATTTATAACAAAAGAAAAATGCCCCTTTGGCTCTGGTAAGTATGACAGTTTCTAAATTAAAAGAATATTGTTTACATCTGAATTGTTAATTCTAATATTAATTTCAAGTATTATTAATAATATGAATTTTCACTAAGCCTTCCCTTTTATACCCGTTTATGCTTTCAAGTCTAATTATAGTTCATTTTCGTTTTAAAGATCAAGCCCCAATTGTTTCATGGTGTGCCTTTTTTCTAATTAAGTGTTTGAGACCAATGGGAGTCAGGCTGGAACCATATCATGTCACTTTTCACAAGCTGACATTCACAGTAAAAGTAGTTCTTGATTATTTCCCTAACAGCTTTGATGTTAAGAAAAAAGAAAAAGCAACAACATTGAGCTGTGTATACTCCCTCTTCATGCTCCTGGGTGAGAAATCATAGTTAGTAGCTGCTGATCTTGGAAATCAGAGTTTCTGCTACTTTGCTAGCAATAACCTAAATCAATACAGAATAACAACGCAAGCCAGTATGTGGTGAGTCATGCAAAATAGATCAGTAGTGATATCAATTGAAAATGATACAGAAAAACTATATTATCTGGAAGGAAATACACAATTTTCTAACACTCTTTGTCCCGAATAGTTTTAACTATGGCACACAAAGCAAGCAAGCAGCAAATTACAGATAAAGATGACTGTTACTTTCTTTCTACTGTTAACACCCTCCGCTAATAGATTGTAACAGAATGACTATTTGGAGGGGTAAGCATTGGGAGAAGATGTCTATAATTTCATAGCATGTTTGGTAACATCATGACATTTTAATTTGCACAGTTTTGCTCTTTTTGAAACTGCATTTGAGAGGAGATTTTGGGGAACAGGGTTAAATGGTGACAGAATAGTGTCCTTTGTGAGTATGTGAACATGGAATAATTGGGATAAATAAATAGGGTTTATGTTTCATCTTCACTTCATCTCCAAGAAGTGAAGCATTATTTGTACCATTCCTTACATTTTATATATTTTAGGAATTTATAAGGTTCTTGTTTAAAGTAAGGTAGTAATTGGAACATGTTTAATATGAGCAACTTTGGCCAACTTTCTTATTTTTACATATATATATATATGTAAAATTATATATATATATAATATTGTGAGAATTATGTAGACATTTAAGACTTTTTTCAGGCTTTGATACTGATTTCTGACATAAATATGCTCCATAAAAATTCTTGCAATTTTTAATAGTTATGAACTTTCAAATCAGTTCCCAAATACTTAGTATTCTCACTATACTTTTGCAGAAAGTATATAAAGAGAAAATCATTACAACTGTGAAGTATTTTATTTCCCTCTGTTGAGATTTTGAGAGCTATTGTAGCCTTTCAGAGCTTAGATGAGCTACCTGAGGAATTATTTGCAAATCCTAATTTCAGACAAAACAAACTTTACAAACCAACAGAGATCAAAAAATAAGAAACCATGTTCTCAACTGATGGAATTGGAATATCTCAATTTATCAAATCTTGTAGAAATTTTCATAAGAAAAATATATTTTCTTCAGAAATATGTACTTGGGACCAAACTGTGTCACTTAATATTATTTAATATTTTAACTATGGGATTTTTCTAGGACTTGACTTTAATCCTTAGTGTATCATTGATTACTAATTCTTGTTACAGTATGATGAGGGCAATAACATTTTTGAAAGTTTAACCTTAAATTTTTGCTAATTCCTATAGTAGCAAAATATTTGTATACCTCTAAATAAATTCTGAGGAATCAAAGCAGTGATACATAATAAGTGAATACATATAAAATGTTGATTGCAAACAAAAGAAAGATGATTGAGAGAATATAATTTGTCAGGGCATTTTATTTGCAGGGCATAACAAAACTGGACAATATCTATCTCATACAGTCCTTGTGAATATTAGATACTAATTAGATATTAATCTTATAAAGTACATGAAAGAATGCTTAGCACATAGTATGTGCTGTATGAGTATTATTTATTATCAGTAGTATTCTTAAGCATCTAGATTTAGAGCTACCCTCAGGCTCTACTGAATACAGTATGTAAAATTTCTCATTGTAACTTTCTCTTTTCTGTTTTGCACACATTTCATGTAGGATTACCTGAAGAAATATTCTCAGTGTTGTTCCACATCAAGATGGCCACTAGTAGCAGTGATCTTGTATCTTACTAGCTAAGCTACTTTTTCAGAAAATGAATGAATATTGTTTTACTCAATAATTTCAACAAAATTTCTAGTTAAGTTTCTCATTAGACTAGGTTGGATCATATTACAAAATAAACCACATGATTAATGGGGTAGCATCTTTATTTTGGACAGGTTGAGATATATTATGACCACTGCCCATGATAATTAGGTCAATTGCTCTCACGTGGTGTGAACTAGAAGCAAAAGAGAGGTAGAACTTCAAAAAAGATTGAAATACTGCTGCAGAAGAAAAAGAAAATACTGAGGTCTCTATAATCACAGATATTTATGTTATAAGAAATCAATACAGATTAAAAATTAGGTAAGAAAATTGATTTACTAATAATCTTGATCTTTAGCCACATTTCTCTGCAATAAATTTGCTATGATACCATGATGGGGATCAGCAAGCTACGTCTTCCAAGTTCCTTCTAGTGGGATCCTGCTAAGTTCTGCTATTGGGAGGTACTAGGGAAACATAGAAAGG